AAAAAAAAAAACAAGTACATGTCGAACGGTTTTCCTATGTGGTTCGGCCTGGAGTAGAGTAGAGTAGAGTAGGAAAGGGGAGGGATAGAGAGGAGCGAGGCCGTGAGCAGAAGAGATCTATGGTTAATGGGGTATGCGTAGAGATAATTTTGTTGCTTTTTGCTGAATGAAAGAAGAGAGATGAAGTGGTGGCTTTCGAGAAAGATCACCATTCATACTCTCCTTGTGCCTTATGAAAGACATATTCCTTGCCATTGACTGTAAGAACACCATCTTTCATTACGCACTTCCTAAATTCCCACCACAGATTAGCCACTTTCTCATCCTACGAAAACAAACAAGGAAAGAAAAAACATACCACTTGTTCTTAACCCGCTGCACTTTGTCATACATACAAAGCATTATATGACCCATTCCCTCATCCTCATCCTCCTCGTCATTGAGCCCGTCATCCGGATCATCAAGATCAGAATTAATGGCGTCTTCATCGTGCTCCTCTTCCTTGACATCTTCGTCTGAGTCTCCGCCATCTACTTGTATCATTCCCTCAAACACTGTACCTTCCTTGGCCTTTCGAGTACGAGTGTGCTTTGGTTGTGAGGATTGAGATCTTGATTTCTTCTTCAATTGTGAAAGAGGAAGCATAAGTCCTCCACCCTCCATACTCTGTCCCATAGCCTCGATCTTACTCCGTATCAAGCCATCAATTTCAACACGGCCCATTGTGGTCTCCTCACCGTTGCTACCGATCTGCTTGATGACAGTCTCGGCTTCGACGTCATCTGCGCCATCGGTTTGCGGAGGTGCGCCATTGAAGCCAATCTGTCCATTCTGAGCGTTCTGAGCGTTCTGACCGTTTTGTCGAGCTGTTTGAGCGCGGGCCTGCGCTTGTGCCTGTTGAGCAGCCATGAAGCTCTTATACTGCTGTTCCGTCATTTGTTGTGGTTGAGCTGCTTGCTGCTGGGCACGCGCTTGCTGTTGCTGTTGCTGTTGCTGTTGCTGTTGCTGTTGCTGTTGCTGTTGTTGTTGTTGTTGTTGTTGTTGCTGGTGCATCTGCATCTGCATTTGCGGGTTTAAACTTTGGCCTGCGGGGTGAAATGGGGCTCCTTGTTGAGTAGGTGGCTGTTGTGGCTGTTGGGCGGATTGGATGGCGTTGATGGATGCTGCAGCTCTTTGGCCGTAGTTATTTTGTAGGTGTTGGGCTGCTCTTTGCTGGGCGGTTGTAGCGCCAGCCATGGGCATTTGTGGCATGGTAAGGCCGCCGTGTTGGAAGGGAGGTTGGGTCATGGGTGGGCTGTCCATACCTGGCTCGGGCTTGATGCGAGGCGGGTTACCATTAGACGGCATGGGCTGCATCTGCTGCAGAGGCTGGCCTTGAATATTTTGGGGAGGAGTGTTGATAGAGTGATAGTTGCCGGCATTGGAGGGAACAGTGGGTGGGTTGGCCATAGGTGGTTCGGGCTTGGGATCCCATGGGAACTGGGCGACGTTCAAGCCTGACAATTTTGTTTGCCATCCCTATAAATATATCAGCACACGTAAAGACACCTTCATAAGGTTGAGGTCGTATCAGAGATACCATATCCCCTCGAAATAGAACAGCTCAAGTAAACCATAGCGACACGTGACTGCGATCATACCAATGCATACTAGCGCCTTGGCAGAAAGTGTCTTAAGCGAACGTGCCGGGTATAAAACAAGAGCCAAATACAGAGGGGTCGCCCACCCGTGAGAATCCAGGGCGAGCCCATAGGACAGGCAGCAGCGAAAACGAAGGTCCGCACGTATATCGACATATGAACCACCACAACCCGCCAGAACGATTCAATATGGAAGCGAAACACAATCTACCAGAACATGATGCGGAGAAGAAGAAGAAGATAATGATGGATTAAAGAGAGAAGGCAGTTCGGGAGTGTGGAGAAGATGGAGGGAAGGAATGCCGTACCAATCGCAACTCCTCGAGCACATTATCATCGACGCCTCCCTCCTCAAAGTCAACTCTCGAGCTCTCGATGACATCTGCGATGATCTGCTGGTACACGTTTCCGACTTGCGTGTTGGACATCTTGGGCTATGTTCTTTATTGCGTGCGTCTCTTGTATGTTGGCATGTGGAGGTAGATGTGAAGTCTCGTGCTCGCTCTCTTGATAGCCTTAGGGATGAATGCGATGCGACGGACGGTAGGTTTCGAGTGCAGCAATGATCCCGCCGCGCCTGCGATGCCAAAGTATTCTCACCTGCGACCGGACTGCAAAAGAAGCGACGGTGTTGTAAATTGTTCACGCCTTTGATGACGGCAAGCGGTATCGCTCGGACGCTTGACCTCTGAACCCCCAACGTAACGTAAACTTCGTGAATATCCTTTCCCTTCCTTCCCTTGTATGCTTGCTTGACTTAACGCGCCTCGAACTATCTGCTGTAAATATGCGTCGTATATCTTTCTCTGTAGGTGGGACGTCGGCAGTCGCTCTGTTGGCATGTAGAGTTGTAGCAGTAAAGGCGCTGGGCTGAGGCTGAGATGTTGCCGACCGCCCTAGCTCGTGCTTAGTAAGCGATAAACGGAATCTGAATTCACGCTCCCAGAAGGTGCGTCTGAAGGATGCCTTTTTAACTTAGGGAGTTTTGGGATGGGAAAGCCATATCAAATTACAGTTAATAACGTTGATTTCAAAGCTACTAAGAGTGTATTTTGGATGTTCTAGTGTTACCTTCAGCCAATTTCTTCTTGGCGGGGAAGCAACGCGGGGCAATTCGCTGATCCATGCGAAAACTTTTGAGCATCAAGTTCGCCATATGAACTTGCATCATCCGGTGGCGAAGGGTAAACTACCGTTGAAGACACTTCGACATTCTCCATTCCTGAGCCGAAGCTACTCAAGGTTCCTACCTCAAAATCACGGATAAGAGACGGGATCAGTGTATAATATTACAATTCTCATTGATGGCAAGTTCCTAATTACAAAGTCCGATGAAGAATAACACTCCCAACAAGTCCAAAGCCGCTTTCCAGTCATCCATCGTAAGCATTACTCGCACCAGGTGAAGCACTTTCTGCCATGGGCATTGAGAGAAATCGTCCAATTCCCAACGCCACGCTATAAATCCAACCGCTAAAAGCAAGTATGGAAATTTTTAATACTTTACCATTCGCCCTCGTGGAAGCAGAATGCTTCAGAGCGTGGATGATTCTCCTAACGGATGGTCATTTGCTTGACCATATCAGCCTTTCCAGAAGCACCTGACACGCTTGCCGAGGAAGCAGCGCCAGCCTTCTTTTCAAAGACCTTCCAGAACTTCAAGCTCTCATCGGCAGCTGTGGAAGAATGTTAGCAGCAGTTATTAACATGAGAAGGAATAAACTTACCAGCTGTTGCTAGCATCTGTCCATCTGGACTGAGGCAGCTGTGAAGGACTCGGGTCTCGTGTGCTGGGATCTCAACGTTACGAACCAAGGTAGGGTAGCTCCAGATGCTGATGGAGTTGTCTGGGAAGCCGCTGGTGCTGACGATCTCACGGTAATGAGGGCTCCATCGAAGGCTGGTGACTTGGGATCCAGTATCGATGCTGTTGACACGAGCACCGGTAGTGGTGTTCCAGAAGTGGATATGACGATCGTATGATCCACCTCCTGTGGCAAGGACGTTGGGTGCCCAAGGGCACCAACTAAGAGCCTTGACAGCAGCTTTGTGGTTGGTCTTGGTGAACTTAGGAACGGCCAAGGAGCGAGCATCCCAGATAGAAACGAGGTTGTCGTTGCCACCGGTAGCGAGTTGAGCACCATCAGCACGCCATTCAAGACCACAGACTTCGGAAGTGTGGGAAACGAGCTCGGCAATCTTGTGTTGAGCAATGCGGACATCATGGTTGAAGACCAAGCCAGATCGAGCACCAGTTGACAGGGTGTGCTTGTTCCATCCCATTACACCGACGCGGGTGTCGTGACCGTGCATGCTACGAAGCTTAGTTCCCTCCTCAACGTCCCAGATTTGGATCTCTCCTGTTCCGAGCCCAACACTGACATAGGCTCCATCGCCAGACCATTTGACACTGCTGACATAGGTATCTGGGCTAGTCTCCAATAGAGAGCTGACGGTGCCAGACTCAGCTGACCAGACATAGACATTGCGTTCGAGACCAATAGCAACTTGGTTGTTGGAAGACCAATCGAGGAGGTTGAGGTAGTAATCGTCCACGAGACCAGGAGCATCAAGGACTCGCTCTGGGGCTGTTGCAACACGGCGTCTGAATTGAGCAGAGGCAGCATTGGCGTTCTTGAGAGGACGGTTGTATTGGGAGCGGAGATCAACTGGCTTGGATGACTCGGGGGCAGCTGGCTTGAAGGCAAGGATGCGTTGGTTGAGGGAGACACCACAAGCTGATGCTAACGAGTCTTGGTATGCGACAGTGTTTGGTGATGGACGAGAGTAGGTAGATGGCTCATCGTCAGACAATGACAATGATCCCATAGCAGCCAGTGCATCGTCGGCAGCAGATGCAAGAGCTGATGAACCCTCTCCAGTACTGGACTTGGGTCTTTGCTTGTCACCGAGGTCGAGTTTGCCTGAGCCAACTGTTGCAATTGCTGAGCTTGCAGCACGGTTTGGGATGAACCGATCGCCGTATGATAGAGTGGTCTTGGTGGACTTTTGTTGACGTAGAGGAGCCTTTCTTGATCGGCTGCTGCTAGGTGTCTTGCAACCAGCAGTACCGGTAAGGGCAAAGTCGGAGACACCGAGTTCCAGAGCACGACGGGGGGTTTGTGCGTTTCTGGCGATATTTGACTTTGGCGAGTCGCGGTGTGATGTTCTTGAAGCCGACTTGGCGAAGTGTGATGATAAGTTTCCACTGTACACTGACGATGTCTTGATGTTCTCATTGTCCAATGTCTTCCTCTCTGGTGTGTAGGGCGAGGATCTGTTGTTGTTCTTCGACATTGCTGCTGCATGTTGGCGAGGAGAAGGGGTCAAGGGCATCCGTCCGCCAGCGGTACGGGTGGAGAACATGCCCATGTGGGACTTTATGGGGGTTGATACTGCGGTTGCCATTGTGCAATATCGGTTATGATCTCGGTCGAAAGACAAATAAATGTATCGATCGATGATGGTTAAAGAGGTTCGGTATATCGAACGAGCTCCAAGAGACTCAACCTAATGGTTCCTGGTAGTTGTTTGGTTAGTATGTTCGTTTGTTGTGCTCGATATATCGAAGTGCCTTCGTGAAGGAACACTTAGTCGGCTGGCGATCAATGGCGGTACAGAGTACGGCAGAAAGATCTAATGGACTTGAAGTATCTTGTATGAAGGTCTGGAAGGATGTGTGTGAAGTATGCAATGAAGCAAGAGGAGGAGGAGGAAGAGGTAGATGTGGAAGAGGTGGTGCGGGATTGAGAAGTGCAAGATGTGCGAGGAAGGAAAGAAAGAAAGAAGGACATCGAGCCTTTTCATAGGTACTGTAAACATGGATTTGGCGCTAGTTGTTGCCAGAGAGATAAAATCGGCGCCTCGGCATTCTCGTTACTTACATAAGTCCTGTGGCTGGTGGTACCTGCCGATATTAGCGTACGTGCTGCTGCGCCACATCTTCCCCATGTTTGTTTCACGGGCAGCTGAATGAAAGCCAACCGACCCCAAATCAACCTGCAACCAACAGGAGGACAATTTCTTCACGCACCTTGCTTGCGAATAACCTCCCAGGCGTATCAAGACATTGCCCTATTCTCCTACAATTACCCGTTCCCGCAATCCAGTCCACATGAACACATAGCCGTCGCCGCCATGGCTCAGCAGCCTTCGACTCCTGCTGGTACACCCCACTCGATCTTTGGTTCTGGAGCTGGTCCATCTTCCAGCTTGAATCAGATCACAGGAGGAGGTGCTCTGACACCCGGCTCTGCAGCATCTTCAAACAATACATTTCTGATGCCCAATTCCCCCATCAAAGGCCGTCTTAATGGGAACGATGGATATCGGCCAAAGGTGACGAGAACTTTAGGACAGCGACCCGCGTGCCTTGTTAATGCCTCGGTCACGTATTGTGGAAACAACCAGATATACGCCTTTGGTGGCTTCGATCAATACACCGACGAAGTTTATAACCATGTTCTGAGACTGGACATGGTCAGCCATCAATGGAGTCTGGTAGACAATTATGGCGATATTCCTGGGGTGAGAATGGGTTAGTTCTCTCCACTTGTATCCTACTGGACCTCAGCTCACCTCAGTCCAGGTCATACTGCAACCCTTTACCAAGGCGACAAGCTGCTCATCTTTGGAGGTGAAAATGAGCATCGAACCTACCTCTCTGACCTCATAATCTTCGACTTAAAGACTGCTCATTGGACACAACCTTCCGTCTCGGGACCAATACCTAAGGGACGTGCCAGACATGCTGCAGTTCTTCATGATGACAAGCTTTTTGTTGTTGGTGGAATAACTGGACATAACAACTATGTACTCGACGACATTTGCTACCTCGATCTAAAGACTTTCACCTGGTCCAGAGCATGGAGATTTGTTGGTAGATTTGACCATTCAGCATACCTTTGGGGTGACAGGGTCTGGGTCTTTGGTGGATTGAGTGAGGATATGGACAAGATTGGAGACATTTGGTGGTTGGATCTCAAAGGTAGCCCAGCCTTTGACTCTGCACCAGCATTCGGATCCCTCGATAGACAAACAGCACTTGGCCGAATGTCTGGTTCCTCTCGTTCAATGCCTCCGCCTCCACCTACTGGGGGAAGCACCGGCTACGCGGCGAATTCCAGCAGTGCGCAAGTCAATCCTCCCTCATTCCAATTAACTACCTCACCTCCCCTTGCACCTGGTACTATCTCTTCTCTCAAATTCGTCTCCGGTCCGCATATTCCTGCTCAAGGATCTGGCATGCACTTCCATGTATATACTTCCGGCAATTTGCTTGACTTTGTCACCCCTGCTGCTACAATTACTCCTCAAGATTGCTCTCTTTCCTCTCTGGAGTTAGACAGTTTACGCTGGCAGAAGCTGGCAGAAGGTCGAGATATTTTCAAACCCGGTTACCGCTGGCATTACTGTACTATCAATGAGGATGGAACCAAAGCTTGGTTGCTTGGATGCCCAACAGATCCTACGGCAACAGATCTCGGTCCAGGTGGCTTTGAAGAGTATCTCAGGTAAGTGTTTCCTTGCCTCTGGGTGAATGGCAGCTAATTCAGATAAAAGTGACATTATGGAAATCGATCTTAGTCGATATGGTCTTCTCGGCAATGGGTATTCTCCGGAGCCTCCATCCCAAACAACCCGCCAATCAGCGGAACGCACACTAGTACAAGTTTCCAAAGGACTCGGAGCTGATTTGGCAAAACTTTTCAATGAGCCTCCTGAGACTGGAATGACTGACTTCACAATCACTGCATTGAAGGATGGCGAGTGGGATGAGGACGAACTGATTAGCTCTAGTATGATGCAAACCAGTCACCAACAGCAAGAAAAGTGGCTATCTTCCGACACCAATACGTCTCCACCAATACACGTTCACAAGCTTATCTTGCTGGCTCGCTGGCCTCATTTTGCAAGACTTTACAACGCTCAGATGGCAGAATTTCATACCAAGAAGATGCACATCCCGGAGCCGTACACTGTCGTCAAAGCATTCCTTTACTACCTCTATACAGATAGCATTCATCCCAAAGACTGCGCTGAACTGAACGATGTTGCCGGCCTACTGGTCATATCCGACTTGTATGAGTGTCCGCACCTGCGACTTCTTTGTGTCAACCGGCTTTCGAAGGAGCTCGATGTAGACCATGCTTGCATCATCTGGCACTGTGCCGGGGTAGCCAGAGAGGAATGGCTTCGAAGATGCGCCGCAAACTTTTGTCTCCTTCATTGGGGCAGAGTAGTTCGTACGCGAGGCTTTTTGCAGCTGCCACGATCCGCCCTTGTCGAACTCTCCCAGGAGATCGACATGGAGGGACGTGTCGTAGGAGGTGAGGATCTCGACAGGGTTGATTTTTAGACTATCATTTGTTAACAAGCATCAGGCGAAGAACTTGAGTATGTGGGTGGACTCGGCGGCTCTCGTTTCGGATTTGGCGGGGTTGCGAGAAAGGCCAGTGTTAGCAGCAACCAGACTCTGCCGACAGGGTCCGAGGCGGATGAGAACGAGGAAATGGAAATGACTTAGCTGATGGTTTATATGTTTTATGAGGTGCATAGTGGCGTTTAGGAGGGGGAACTCATGTGTAAACAGCCAATCAGATTAGAGCGAGCATTGCTTTGGCGTTGTGGAAATTACTTATAAAGTAGTAGAGATACTGATTGCTAAATACATTGATCTCTTGTTCAGTATCTCCTGCTGCACTCTCTCGGTGACCAAATATGCAAAATTAAGTATGTGCTCATACTCCAATCCGAGCAGTAAATCCGCTTGATCGCCCATTCATTTGCTCTAAAGCATCCTTAATGGCACAATGTAGGGTACTTTAGTAACAGGATACCTACACTTCAACCCCCTTTCACTCTCTCACGCCTACCTTACCTTACTTACCCACAAAGTAAAGTCCCGCCTCAGTCGACCCACCCAACGAGCATTACTTACCAACCCAGAATGCGAGTCAATGTTCACGGTACTTATGGGTTGTTAGATTATGATGTAGATGGATGTAATTATGCATTCCGGGATTCCTTGTTTCTGATTCTTGAAGTTGGGAGATTGAGAGACATTTTGGGGTGAGGAAGTGGCAAGGTGTTTGTGGTGAGTAAGTGGTGTCAATATAAAATGAAGGTTTCTTGGAGAAAGGAGACTAGTATATGGGTTGGAGGAGGGGAGGGGGGCAGTGTAGTGTGGTGCTAGGAACGACAAGATGCCGGTATCGATACCGATACGTTGGCTCATGTTTGATTTGATAGACGAGGCTAAAGAAGGAAACATATTCTGTGATGTTGGAATGGGTGTTGATTACATTGCAATGCAATGCAGTGTTCTAATATGAAAGAATACTACGATCGTGTCTAAGATTCTACTGTGTAATGTAATCCGTGACCTCTTTAGAGAGGAAGAATCGCCAGCGAACAAACATTACATAGCGTTCGTTTCTTCCACAAACCACGACCGAGGAACAGGAAGGAACTCTTCTGAAGCTGGGAGAGACACTGCAAGCACGCCGAGTCATCGTTCCTGTCTTTGTTATAACTCAGACCCACCCATACGCATATGCGAAAAGATAGTAACGAGGGTGCGGGGGTGATTTGCAATGTTTCGTGCATTCGTTCGCTTGTAAAAAATGTTGGGCGTGTTACGGGATGGCACTTTGACAGTACACTTTGGGCCACGCATGGCTTATACACGTGTGGTGTGGGATCATGAGGCTTTGAATGAGGGAAGCATGTGGAGCAGCGAATGGGATGAGCCGATAGGCATTGGGCTTTGAGATCTTTGCTGTGACTTTAGCAATTTGTATGCATATTAAGTAGAGGAGCGTCGCATGAAAATGGGGTGGAAGAGAGAAATAAGGGAGAAGGTTTTTGCATCTACTTGATGTTCGTTGCATAAGCATATTTGGGGCTGTGTTTGTACGAGTACCAGCCATGGAATTGAAGTATAGGCCAAGCGTGAAGAGCGGTAAAGAAACTTGGGATTGGAAAGATCGTATTCCACGGCGCTTCATGGAACTTCAGAAGAGTCTCAATTACAAGGAAATCGAAAAGAAAGGTTTACTTCTAAAACATATACTTCATGCAATTCGCTATCATCGCGTCGAAAAAGAAAATCGGAATGTCAAAGGTCTCGTCGGGAAACCATAGATCTCTCCAACCATAAGGTCCTGGCAGATATTGTGGTATACCTAGTGTTCGCTTGCGTGCGGAAAGCTTGCCTAAGAAAATCCGTCGGCGTACGAGCAGCGACTCGGGCGAGATAGAAAGGAGGAAGACCTTAGTTTTGAGATGAAGGATATATATTATAAAGCAGATTGAAAAGAATAAGAAGACCCGAGACCAACACACAGATCGAAGCGGGTATAGCCAGATAAGGCAGAGATTGGTATCGAAAGACACGAAATGCCAGCATTTCCCTAGGACATAACGCCGCCAAAGACAATTCGACTTCTCCTCGGCATCATTACTCCCTTTACTTTTCCATACAGAAACTGACAAATTCCTCATCTAAACCCAATCAGTATTTATACCACTTCCATAAAGCCGGATTCGAAGGCAGGGGGTCGGGGTTGGGGGGCATACAATCGATAGTCCCATCACCATTCTTATCAACCTCCTCAACCATGAACTGCACCTCATCTTTCGAAAGGTTCTGCCCAAACGTCGCCATAACTGTAGCGATCTCGTCCGCAGATATTGTGCCGCTGTTATCTTTGTCGAAAACCTTGAAGGCGTTGCGCATTTCTTGCTCGATGTTGGCGGGTTTCATCTCCATGGTCATCATTTTGATGAATTCTACAGCGATCGCACATTGATTAGCGTTTGCGACGGAATAAGCATAACAAGGCGGGGAAAATTTACCTTCTAGATCTACGGTACCCGTATGGTCGAGATCGATTTCATTGATCATGTCTTCGAGCTGGGAAGGGGTTGCCTGGAGCCCAAGGGAGTGCATAACGGCGCCCAGTTCCTCCTTGGTTATGACGCCTGGACACGCATATATATTAGCCCCATTTGACAAGAACTAGAAGAATGGCTGTGGATTCCTTACCATCGTTGTCGCTATCCTAGATGGGTTATCAGACAAAAGTGTAAAGTATCGCTAGGAATGGACTCACAAAAAGCGCAAACGCGTCCTTCAAGGCTGCCTTGTCTTGCGCCTGCTGCGCTGTCAACTGCTAGATACCACCATGTGGTTAGTATAATGCGACAACTTAGAGCAGAGGAACGCGGGACTGTGTCTTACGGTTGCATTCTGTCCCGACATGTCGAAGTAGCTCATAAGTAGTATTCTGGTTGAGCTGGGTGATGTGTTTTTGGAATCTTGAAGAGCTTGAGGTGGGGTTGATTGCAGATCAGATTGGCGTCCACCAAGCTTATATCAGGTGATAGTATAACATGTGACAGTCCCCTTTTTCTTTGCAGTCTTTCCCGGGTTTTGTCTGGAGTAAAATGTACGAGCTGATAGTTGTAAATCGAATTTAATTGACTACAACCATGTGATTTATATAAGTGTCGCAGACGTGGAGTGAAAAAAAAAAAAGCTGGAGTATGAAGTTCAAACATTACTACTACGCTAAATTGACCCCGCTGCGGGGTAAAATTGTCCCATCAGTCCAGCATACTTCAAGTTGTATCCGTATCAATCATCATTATTTCATCGTTTCATATTTTAAACTCTTTTATAGTAACGTAGTTGTAGGAAGGAAAATCCATCCATTCTTCCTTCTAAGATCTACTTTAAGGTGAAGTCTTGATATTGGAAAGACGCATATTCAAGATCTAATCAAAGTATCCAGCTTAATTGCCGCTAGCCAAGCAATCCTTTGAGCGCCATATATACATGTAGTTATATATATTAGTTTGAGAATCTGCTAGTATTTCTACTTTATGAGATTATATTTCTTTGTAATTCTTTACTTTCTTACCATGTGGGCATCAGCAGCACAAATAATAGCTTCATTTTGAAACCTACATCTTTTCCTTATTTCCTTGACTGAGTACGCCTAACCTAACAGGAAGTCACACGGACATAGCTTCTTCGACGACCTGTTTCGTTCCCAAGAAAAATCGTCTTGGGCGAAACCGCGAATATATCACAAGTAATGTTTACTTAACGTATTCACAGCTCGCGTCTTTAGAAATACAAAGAACTCCTCTACTATGAAGGGATGAAGCGATATACCTTGCGAGTGGAGAATCTCTGCTTCAAACTGTAGATCTCTCTACACATGGTTGCCAAATAGATCTGGCAAATACTAGCGCGTGGGGGTGGTGACCTTGGAACCTCGAGCTCCTGCGATTCCTCACCACGAGACTTGCGATTAAGATAAGGAAACATGTTAATGATCCACTGAAAGTGAAATACTCATATAGAAGTAACTCTAACCTATCTAAGTTTTCCTGTCTAAGTTCTGCTACCGGATCCAGTGAGTGGCGTAGTGGATGTTGAAAGGGATGTCGGGGGTGTTAGTATAACACTTGAGCGCTATACCGATAATAGTTTGGTTAGTAAAATAAGTTCACTCACTTGATATAGTTTATAAGCTATTTCTGGGAGATGATAGTGGAGCGAGATGCTCTATTATGCTTGTATCTATGATTACCATCGATGACCCGCTAATAATGTTCCTAATACTTAGTTCGAAAACTATGGCTCTTTATTACTTTGGCGCTACCAGAACCCACTGGTTATTTAAGGAAATCTACCTAGTTTAGGATTCATCTTAGTCGTTCAATTCATGATGTATAACTAGTTGGAACGTTTCCCGACAACGTATAGTAGATGTACGACTTTCTTGCTGGATCTTCATGAAGATTCGCTACAGAGATAGTAGTACTCGTCCTTCGACTGGCTGTGCCTGGCCCTTTCTACAAACATCGGTTACTATTCCTTCAAATATATAAGGACATTGTGGGACCTGATTCCCATTCTCCTGCAGGGATTGGACATAGGATGATGCGCAAAAGTAAATTGCAAGTGGGGATACTACGTAAGTGCTGAATTTAGGACTATAAACAAAGAGACGTGAGCTGTGAGAAAAAGAGTTGATGACTGCTCTTAACCCCGTGGAAAAGAATTCATGAGCTAGTTTGGGACTGCTATCGAAATTTTCCCCATTCATCAGTCTAAGGCATCAAAATGTCACAGTAAGCTTATGAATGCTCCCGCGCTCCCAATCGTATCTTGTGGAGTTCCTCGTCTCCAAACACTTCAATCCTAGCCGAGAAGTCTTATAGTACAAGTACTTTTTTGGGGATCGTTCCTTCCCGAAAGATTAGATATAGAGATCATGTTCGAACTTTAAATTATCATATGCGTCATTCTTTCTTTCCAGCTACAGGTTTGTGTGAAAAGCGGATTTGAGGATGAGGAAAGAGCCAATGGATGTCTCCAATAACTAAGCATGTTTTCTCTTCTGGCTAGCTCCTTTATGTGAATATCTATTCACAACAATGGGGGTATATTGTAGCTGAAACCGATTCACACTTTCTCTCTCTCGCTTGGAAAAAGCGACAAAAGCACGATATTTTATTCATGAAGCCAAATTTGTCCTTACCTCCTTTGGAGCCTCATCCATTAACAGCGTAACATCGTCCATTTCGCAACCACAAATCCAATTCCACTACTAATATGAGCGCAGTTCTAATAATACCACGCATCGCACCTTGCGAGTGCCATGTTTTGAACCCAAGAGACTGGCCGGAGGGAAACGGCAAAATCTGCATTGCGATCTGTATGAACAGATGTCCATATTGTGGACTTGCCTTTACCTCCTCATACGGTCTCAACATGCATCTCTCGACAATCGAGTACAAGGACCGTGGCTTGGAGGTAGTCTGGAGCCCTCGGAACGAGAACGAACTATAGTAAGTCGAGTAACAAGAAAGGGGAGGGGGTAGCAGAGCAGGAAGCTAACTTGTTTCCAGCCGCAAGCGTGCTGGTGGAGTGATCGATCTAACCAACGACATAGATGTAGATGAAGGACTTGCACATGACAGCCCTTCTGAATCAGTTATGGAGTTCTTGTCGGCCTTTAGTCAAGATACAAAGAAGGTGCTGCGAGGTGTTACGCTCTGTGGCATGTCGGAGATCCCATACGAAACACGAGAACTGTGGAAGAGTTCCACGGTTTTCTGCCCACTTGTCTTCGGATTCCAAGAGTTCGTCAATTTCCATCGCGCATGCCTTGTACCCTAGAACACTTACCTACAAACCCCTTCCCAACGTCCAGAATACTCAGCAGCTCCCATTTTCTTCCAACGAATGGTACGATACTGACTCGTCAACAGTTGCTGGTCTAAATCCCCCCCTACAACGGAGTCTGTCTTCCTGGCTACAGTTGACTTGATCACCAAGACTAAAGTGAACAAAGAGAAATTGGATTTGGAAACAAATAATGGAACTGCCACGGATCTGCCAGAAGAGGAGCCTACTTGCCGAGCCTTTGGAAAGGCCTCAGGGGTGGAAGCTGACCCACTAAGGGCAGTAGCACAGTTGCATGAGCCAAGCCGGCACGATCCAGTTGCTATCATTGGATACAAACTTCCTGAGATCCTCCCAGATAAAGCAATCAAGGTCCCAGAGGAACTGTTCCCCGCAAAGGCCATAAACCAGACCAACCTGCAAGTACTCCTGACGACAGAGTTCTGGGCCACGAATCTGCTCATTGGTAAGCACGTCGCAGTTTCGTCTGAAATGGGAAATACTAATACTTACAGATCATTTCGACTCCATCACAACGACTCTTGGACCATGTGAGCAAGTATGGTTGCTGTTTCCTCCTACTGCTAAGAATATGCAATACATGCAGAGAGGAGACCGAAGAAGGTATGATAGTCAGAGCGCCCTAATCCTTTACTCGAGAACCACTTGGATTTTGCACATACTTTCGAGCTTATCCTTTGGGAATGCCCCACAGCTATCAAGACATCGATGTGTATTTTAGGTTGTTTTGAAGCTAACTCTCATTTCTTCAGCAGGGGAACGCTTGGCAAAGTCGGAAAATACCTGGAAGGGGGCGTAATCGTGAAGACAAACTCCTCCGAAGTCCTATATCTACCATCCGGTACCATACATGCCATATTCACGACTCATGGTGGATTCCTCATTTCCACTGAGTTTACAACCTCCAAGTCGGCGAAGACCCTTTCCCATTTCCTGTGTACCAAGTTCAGGGACTTCAAGTACTCATCTGAGGAACAAGATGTTTACGATCAATTTCTGGACTCTATCAAGGCCGCCTTTAACAACAACGACGACGTCAAAGTCGCATTGAAGGCATGGTTTGATGCTTTGGATCCCATCCGAAACTGGGCAAACAGCATTGATGGTAACGCAAAGGAGCTGCAGAAGAAAGTCAACTGGAAAAACAAAGTTGCAAAGGTTTTCGATACATTCTTTGCAAGTCCGGCGTCGAAGGGTATTATATGTCCTTGTGGTGAGGCAAACGGGATGTTTTCTTTCCAGGACCATTTCCGCATGTCTCATCTTTTAGCCACACCGCCGCCAAATGTCTCCCAGACACGGAAGCCTTCAGTACGAAAGCGAAAGCGCGCGGCTCGAGACTAGGAATATTACAGGGCATAAAACAAGATGCGAGGGTTCCCCGACATTTCTGGTGTTTGTGAAAACAGTTTGCTGGATTGGAGTTAGTGGAGCAGAGATACCTTACTGACTTGGACTTGATTTGCATTTTGCATTTGGCGGGTTGCTGTCTCTGCGGTAAAAACAAATGATGGACATCCTTGTGGTGGATAGATCAAGGGAGGCATCTTGTGTCAGACATAGAGAACAAAATAACATACAGTACTGCCCAAATGCCACGATGATCTTCTCACACTTCTCTGCAACGTTAACTTGAAAGTTCAAACTATAACAAGGCTAAGTCGGGGCATCCGACACTTATGTGCGAGATTCAGGCAACTAGCTGTCGATCTACCGTCAACCATAGCTCGGGCCCCACCCTACCTACTCTCCTAGCCTCGAAAATCTTATATTGCATTGCCTCAATCTTGAAATAGAATTTAACTAATCAAGTCGTTCGTTTCATTTCGTTTCGTTTCGGTCATGAAATTCTCAACGATGGATGGATAAGTTTATTATGACTTGACGGCCGGCGTTATGAGGCATTGAGACTTGTAACTCGTACTCGCATGCCAAGGGTCCAATTGAAAAGCTTTACTTTAAGAATGGTCTGGTGTGGTTTGGTTTAGGTTATGTTTGCGAGGCTCATATGGAGTAAGCTAATTATATAATCCGTGAGTACCGTAGCTAGGATCGAGTGATTCTAGAGATCAGCGCTAAGTACGGTACTGTAAGTAGTAGGGAGTGTAATGTCAGACTTAAAAAAAAAAACAATGCGAGTGCGAAGAGGAGAAGAGAAGCGAGACTCAACATGCCGAAAATGTTTACTTACACTACCTGTACCTACATCGATTGAGACACCGTCCGATAAGCTGGACTGGCTACCTCGATTCGAAACCCTGTCCACCCATCCATCCATCCAATAAGATAACAACAACCCACCAACGGAGTCTTGTAGCCTTGGCAGGCTAGGGGTGGGGCTGGTTCAGCCCTACGGATGGCTACCGTTGCTAAATGGAGATATGTTCCTGCACTACACCTCCTCCGTGCAGTACCTTAAGTACGTATATTACGGGACGCTACAGTACAGTAATCTAGCTTCCCAGGGTCGTGGCTTTTCTTGGGCCTCTCCTTGTCTTCTTCTGATATAGCATTGTGAACGAATCTTTACCTTTTACTGTTATATTACTTTCACTCCTATAGTATATTACGACCTATCTATAATAGCTATTTCGATTACACACGGCGGAAGTGCTAGCTAGACTCATTTCATACGGGACTAGGTTTTAGCGGTGCAATTGTAGTAATATACCGCTTGCAATAAGAACTTTTAAACCGCGTATAGAAGCTTTTACACGCGTAGAACTAGAGTGGATTAGAAATTGATAGTAAGAGTTGGTCGAATGCGACGACGTCTACGCCGATTACGTGAGAGATCGTGGGTCCACACTGCCACGTTTTGCACTGGCCATCGGATCCTGCAGGAAGGAGAATCCTTGCTAGATAACAATCCTCGCCTTGGATAGGCATTCTTTCTCTCGTACTTCTTCGTTCTAGATATGCTGCGTTGTGCTGTGCTATCAGTTAATAGATTAATATGTTTTTTGTATGGGGATAGAGGATTTGCAGAAAGGAGTCGATTGATAATAGTAGAGAATGGCCTTCATTCGTTTGGTCAATTTTACGTATATGGAACTTTTTTGAAGTCTTGAGAATTTTATTGCATAAGTTAGGAGCAGGAAGTCGAGTCGTATACGTGTTGTTGCATGTCCCGGAAGAGCAAGGTACTTATTTGGGGTTTGAAGATATATGGTAGATAAATAAGGTTGGTACAAGTAAAGTAAACAAACTTGCTTTGATCGAGAAGTGACCGAAGTCTTTCAGGACTCTCCCATTGCCAGCATGTGCCGTGCGGGAAGCCCGCCTTGGGATAATAAACTCAAATATCGGAAGAGAAGAACCCAGCTGTCACGAGCAAATCGCATCGTACTGTAGCTCCCGCGGACCATTAGTTGTCAGCGGGATCTAAAACGGGCGTCGAAATCGGGCCACCCAAAGAACAGCCTCCTCCAAGGTTGACTGATTGGGGAAAGAACGAGAGGAACAGGAACAGGAAGCCTACGATATTCCACGGAGCATCTTACGGCTTCGCCTGTATGTACGTCAGCGGCATGCTGCGGAAACCCGTTCAGGCTAGAACATTGCCTCGAAAGTCTGACCGTTCCTCTAGATGATGTCTGGGGCTCGAGGGCCGAATACTATTCGAGAACCGAATTTACGAGTTATAAACTCCACCTACTATCAGAATGATTTGAGATGCCCAAATTTTTGTGCTGAAGAAGATGAAGCACGGTCCTTTTCTGATGTTCCTTCCTTGGTTTTGCATCTTACATCAGCAAGGATAGTAATTAGACGTTGTCAAGTTCACGCCAACTGGGCTGGTGGAGGCTGCAACAGAGTTGGTCGATGCTGATTGGCTCTCTGGTACGAGCAGTCTCGATCCCCCACGGTACGCTTCCTATGTGATAATTCTATCTCATGTGGCGTCGTGGAGATATTCATCATATATAATAGAAGGTGTCAGTTTAGCGTTGAAGACCAAACTGCCTTTTTCATATGTTACTTACTTGTTCATTGGATACACGGTCGCTTCTCTCATTGCTGTTTCTTCCTTTGTCCGTTTTTCTTGTGTCAATAGGTTTTTGAAGCAAAATGTGCCGCTCATCCGAACAGTCGTCGTCGAAAAAGCCACGGGCGAGCAAGCCAAAGGTCAAAACAGGTTGTGTTACTTGCAGTAAGTAATCTTCTCAAGAGCAAATATTACAGGGGGTTTGAAAGTCAACTACCCCACACTATTGTCTCAACTCTCGTAGCCAAAATATACTTTATTACGCAATGCTGACTCTGAGATTCTGATATTTAGAGTGAGTGTCCCTTCCATTGGGCTCCCATGCGGGGTTTCGAAGCTTGAAGGATTGCGTAATACTTCGTACCAGCGGGCCTATGGTATTCGAAAAACTTGGCTCGAAAATGATGTGCGGCCAGAAAAGACTTTACTGACTGGTGTCATTACTAGACAACGGCGAGTCAAATGCGACGAGACCAAACCAGAATGCTTAAGATGCACGAATTTCGGAAGAAAATGTGCCGGCTACCCCTCGAAAGAGGAGGGTCCTTCGGTGAAGGAGTTAAATCTTCCAGTCCCACGGAGGCTGCTTTCCAAAGCGTTGGTGCAAGGAGATTTCACGCCTTCACCTTCACGCTCTCCTTCCCCCTCTCCTCTGCCATTTCCCCCACGTGTACCTCAAGTGACTTCTCCTCGTTCCCTTATGCCACCAGGCGTGGTATTCCAAGACCAGAAAGAGTATCAGTACTTTTGTCACTTTCGTGATGAGACTTCGGTTGAGCTTGCAACTGGCTTCGAGCCCGCGCTATGGGATACACTTGTTCTCCAGGCCTGCGACAGCCCATCAATCCTACAACTGACCGTAGCCACTGCAGCGCTAAGCCTAGCCACCAAGGCACCGTATGCAAACCTTTGGGATTCCGAAAAAGAAGTGCATCATCAACATGCCTTGCAGCAGTATGGGGAGGCTCTGAAGGGAATCCAAAAGATGGTGGCCACAGGGCAGGATTCGATGAGAATAGTCCTAATCAGCGCACTTCTCATATTCTGCTTCGAAAGCCTCCACGGGGATTTCCGTCAAGCAATCGTTCAAGTTCAAAGCGCCATCGACATGATCGTAAAACGAATCACGAACAACACTCAAGCATACCACTACCCCCGCGTCAACGCTCTTGGGATTCGTGGAAGTGCAGAGATTGACGATGATCTTCTCACGGCGTTCATGCGGCTGGACCGCCCTTCACTCACACTCCTAAGCAAGAGGAAAGAGAACGCGCCTCTACTCACAACTCGAATCTTCACCCTCTTATTCTCCGAAGAGCACCTAGAAATCCCGAGAGGCTTTGCCGGTACGGCTGAAGCACGAGTATACTTGGAAGACCTTAAATGGAGGGTTCTGACGACGACGCAACCACCAAAATCAGTCACATCTTTCTGGCAGGAGGAACCGGAAGAGGAGAACTCTCCAGATTTCAGTATTGTTCCTCTCCAGTTGAAACAATGGTACGAAGGGTCGGGAGCCTTGAATTCGAGCTCAAACTTGGCTATCGAATTTGCACACTGGCATGATGCATTTTCGCCCCTATTAAACTATGCCACGACCCCTCCTGGAGAATCGATGTTCCTTGGAGCAGTGACTCTTCATATTCAAGCTCTGGCTGCGGATTTACTCGCCAGTGGATCATCTAGATCGACGCTCTCTTCACCGACTTCCTCGTCCTCTCAATCTATGGCTGCCGGTTCCAGTGCAGAGAACTTGAATCGGTTTCCCACAGTTCACGCAATCCTGTCCTTCTCCCGCCAATTAGTGGCGCATCCGAAGTTTATTAAGGGATTCGTGTTTGACATTGGAATTATCCCGTCACTGACAACGGTCATAATGGTGTGCCCGGACCGGAATTTGAAACGAGAGGCAATAGATGTGCTAAAATCAATGGAGCCAAGAAGGGAGGGGGTGTGGGACAGCAGCGCCGTTGCTCGAGCCGGAGATATAAGCATGGAGGAGGAAGACGGCCGGATGGATTTGGACATGATTGATCCAAATATCTTGGAAATACTGTAATGATTTGAAGAGAAACGCTGTATTCGGAAATGAAATTAGCGGGAGTTGGGAAAGCATACAATCGGGACTGCATTTCTTGGAGTTTGGAGATCTGAGTTTCTAATGATAATGGGCACCGAACTCGAAAAACACATCCATTTAGGTGGAGGGAAATAAGAGTAGGAAAAGTAAGGAATTTGTTTGATTTGTTTATTTGAATCCAGGCGCATACGTTTCATTTTCAGCGTTCAATACAAAGCTGTACATGTTTCAAATTCTGCAGTATTTCTTCAGTCCCTTTGGTAAAGCTACAGCTTCTGCAGTACCGCACTATGCTACCAAGAACGCAGCGAGCGTCGACTTATCACAAGAGACTTCCTGACTTCAGGATGGGCACTGAAAGACTTCAGGGGGTTCTGCTGGCACTTGGCACAAAAGGGGAAAACACATCGTGAGCATCCTCAGCCCGGCTTTTCCGGGTTTTTCGTGGGATGGCTAACTAGTACGCTTTCAGCGGACAGATCCTCACTCCACTCTCCGCAAGGGTCTAATGGGGCATGAACGCGGGTATCTGGTATTTCCACCGGCACTTGGGGTGTATACAGCCGTGCTTGCTTCTAGTGATAGAGCACTGCCGCGATTCGGCGGCAAAGGATGAGGCAGGGCAAAACACGCGGTTATGCCGAACCCGCCCCCAATATTCTGATGTATGTACAGTGTATTGACGTACAATCCATTAATAATGGACATCTCCATCGGGCAATTGGCAGGCTCAAGCTCGAATTCGATAGAACTACTTGGCGACCATGGGAAAGCCTTGCAGTGCCGCGACGGGAAATAGAGTGCGTGGGGCTATTGAAGCTTCTGCGCGCGGTACCGTTGTCTTTCGATAGACCGCGCCTCTGTAACAATCCAGTTTGCCTCCACATCCAACAGCTTGAAAACTTGGATACTGGGATATAGAAGTCCGAATTCGTGCGCTGGCTGGAGAAGTTGGAGGAAAAGTACGTAAAGTCCTATTCAAGAACAGGAGTAGACTCGGAGTCGGCATCGGACAAACGACGACAGCCGCTACATAAATTATCCCGCATCGGAAGAGTGTAGGAGCCATGCCAGCATCATGTTGGTACGCAGCGGCTAGTTAGGGAGGCCTTGTTTTGTTTTGTATAAGCGTGTTGGTGGCGACGGTAATAAGCAGCATGACTGGAACGTTTCTCGTGAAGTCGCGGGTCGATGAGCTTGGAAAGTAAGATTCAGACGAACAAGATCGCTCACAGGTCAAGGATAGATGTGAACATCGAACACGGGAGTTTATGGCTTGTACATGTGGTATGTATGGTTCTTGTCGAGGTGCTGGCTGCGGTGGAAGTTGTCGTGATGCGAGACTCGTGGTTGACAGAAAAGCCAGCCAGAAAAGCGGCACTCATTATAATTGATATGCCACTCCATCTAAGGCACTAAAACTTGGTGCCGCTTTTTGATGAGACTATTGGAACGACCTCCTGGCTGAGGCAAATCTTCATCCTCAGTATAAAAACCAATTGTAATAATACCTCTCTCTCAACTGGAAAGAAAATTAGGATGTGTGATGAATCTTATTTTGATCGGAAGGATTTGAAGTCAAAAACATCTTGGATTCAGTTCAGTCGTCGTCGACATATAATTCCCTCGAAAGAGAATTCTTCTTTGCATGAGAGATTACAAGATGTAGTATAGCCGGTTGGTTTTTTCGCTACCTCAAGGATGGGCATACTCGTTTCAATTATTGCTTTGATCTGATGCTCCGAAGCGGTCATAGCAAAGTCGCTTTCCCGTCTAAGACTCCAAATACTCCCTGGTCACTCATACTTCTCATCTCCATCAATCGCATATCTTCTTCCCGCCCCCAACCTCCTATTAAACCCCATAAGCACGCCCTCTCTGTCAATCTGCACCAAAAACACACTACTAGGCTTGACATCCCCTTTCCTCCTCCTCAAAACCTCAAGCGCATAAATAAACTCTGCTGTCTCCTTCAAGTAGCTCGAGAGCGAGATTCTAATCTAGAACAACATATTGTCCATAGGAAAAGTACCTGCCTGACCTCTGTTGCAAATCGCAAATAATCTCAGAATTGCTCCGGAAATGCCCCGAGTACCGTATACAAGAGTCAAGGCACAAGATTTTGATCAAATATAAATGAAAATGGACTTTTGTTGCAAGTCGCAATTGCTCCGGAAATACTCCTAGCCGGCGAGAATCCGAAATTCAGATATAAGTTACGGCGAAAGTGGTCTGGATTGATTATAGTAAGTCATGTCAGGCCATAACGCTGAAAAAAAGGTGACTTTGTTTGCGGGAGTTGCATTTATATATGTATGCAGCTAGGCTAGGTTTAGGTTCCGAGAAGTGTCCTTGTGCATACAGGCACGGGGCTACTTTCTTAGATTAAACCCCACGATTGCTTTCGCGGCATTCATTCCATGGAAATTTCAAAGGAAGGGATATCTCTGTTCTAGACTCATTCTTTTCTGCGCTACTCCTACTGGATATATAGTTTGTGCGTTGGATGATCTGTTATGCGATTTCTGAATCATCGTAGCTCATCCAAATCTAAAATAGCCTTGATTCTCATCTTTCTCAAACAAAAAACGAAATCACATACGCACACAATCACAAAAATCAAACATACGCAAAAGGCCATCACAAATGGCAACCATTACCGTCAAATGAAAAGCCATACCAAGCCTTCGAAATATTACTCCACCTATATCTCTCCGCCTTTCCACAAACACCAAAATAGATACCAGACGATATAACACACGTCTTGAACATGTGCACCACGCCCTCCGCCCCGGATAAAACGCGCACCTATCTTCAAATACCACTATTGGATTGGGACGATACAAGTTCATAATATCCTTCATCTCCTACGAGCTCCTATCCTTGGTAACCGCCTCGTCCGCTGCCATCACCACCACCAAGACCAAAACCTTCAAAGTGCTTGTTCACTGCGCTCTTGGTGGTAATAGAAGTGCTGCTACTGTGATTGCATATCTGATTGGAAGATATACCTAGTAGTAATTCTTGTAACATAGGGCCATTTATATACTAGTGCCTGCCCGAGGGCCTACCTGGAGTAGCAGGCGTGGAATTCTAGAGTAAACTATACGGCAAGGTAGCACCTCCGCATAAATTCACTTGCTTCCATGCAGCTCGAGCTGTTTTTTTTTAGCCGAGACTGTACTCGTACATCTTGCAAATATATTTCGCCCCGAGCTTCTTTCCCAATAACCAACCATCGCAACACAATTGTAGGCACGATCAATTCAAATGTATTTGCACTAGATCGTAGGCTAATTTGTGATAGCCATCGAATATGAACACTATGACGAAGCCTTCCAGAGAAGATGCTGTCCATATCAACGCAATGGGTATGACCCCCCAGAGTACGTACCATGGTGAGCATCATCTGCTTGAAGCTGACCTGATTAGCAGATACGACTGCGGATATAGCTCAAGGTAAAAACCCTTACTATTTTGCATATTTCTCATCGGCTGAGCAGGTGACAAGGTTTAATTATGGATGGTTCAGGCGATGCACGAGATTCCAAGAGAAAGCGCAGGTCAAGCTCCACGGCTCCACCCCCCGGTACGTCTAGCTCCTCCAGGCCCCCGATGTATGATCTGGTCTGATCCATTCCGTCTCGCAGAAACACCACTCTCTGCCCAGCTCGAAGGTAAGGCAGCTCGCATCGCTGTCCTACGTGAGGAAGTCGGCTCACAGCATGCACGCAATGACTGGACCGCCAATTATACCAAACGGGTCTCGAGTGCCATCCAAGAAAAACTCAAATACGAGAAACTCATTGCTGCTATGCCTGAACTGCCAAAACAAGATCCTGATGACATCAGCTGGAAGAGCGGTTTGGGCCGGATGGCAGTGATCGATTGCTTTCTAGAAAAGCAAGACCCGGCCGCAGCTATCGTAAGTCATCTTTTCCAGTGATGGAGTTGTACTATAGGAGAGGGACTGATTTCATTTTAGGAGAATCTGGCGGTGGAACTTGAGAACATGGTGGTTCGGTTGAGAGCCTCGGCGACGAGCGTTGAAGACATGAAAAGAGATCACTTCTTAGGAACTGGAGAAGTAAACATGTTAGTTAATCGAATCAAGGGTAAGCATGTCGAAATTAGGAGCGATAATCCCAAGGTCAAAGAGGAATTTGAGAGTTTAGGGAGGACATGGAATCGAGCAAAGGCTGCCTATCGCGAGGTATGAATGGAATACTACTATATTTCAATATGCACCACTTGCACGCGTATGCGGATAACACTTTTGCAGTTTCGCATAACTCGCTGTGTATATACTACGTGCTGCTATTGTTGGGACAATGGGCTGTGTCCCGACCTTTCTAGTCAGGTAACATCATGTGATCTAGCTTAGTCAGCGATGGGGAATAACCTCTTCGCATCGCAACCCCACCACGAATGCTAAGCATCATCAAACCAAATACCCAGCATCAAGTCTATACTACGTAGTAGAGAAGTGATCACGTATCAACATGTGATACCAACAGCTATTAATGTGATACTATCATGACTTTGAATGCATTTTCCACAATTCATACACTTCTTACTTATGATTGTTAAGGGAAATTAAAGCTAATACATAAACCAACCTCAATTAATTACGCGTAAGTGTAGTAGTGTCTCATAATAATCAATTCTTGCTATAAATTGCAAGCTACCGTTCCATCGGATTTAGTATACAGTTGGTAACCTCTGCCGATCTAATCATCTTTCTCCTCATCCTCTGCCTCCTTGATAGCCGCCACCAAAGCACCGATGGCTATTACATCCCGAATAGACCTTTCCCCAACCAGCTTTTTGGATTCCTGCAGCATTTCTTCATTGAACGCCATCTTCTTGATCGTCAAATCGTATATGGCTTTCTTCGCCTCGTACGTCTGCTTCAACGCCTCGACATCTTCCTCGATACGCTTGACTCTTTCAAGCTTATCCTTGCGGTCCTGCGACAG